GGGGCTGAACGCACATGTTCACGTTACATCGTGAAGTATGAAATGTCTTAAAAGAACTCTCTTAAAATTAGAAGAAAAAACAACAACAAACCCAACCCTGTATAAAACGTAGAGGAAACCGAACGAATTCCACATTGTAAATCTTTACTTGTTGCGCTAGAAATTGTGCTTTGGGTGTTCTTTATCAAACTAGGAAAATCCCACCCACATCGATACAATATCAACTTCCACCATACTGCTTTACGGACAGATTATGACAACCGGCGTCGCGCCAGTGGTGTAGCAATTAAGCACTTCGCTGTCGCTCACAAGAGACCTGAATTTGATTCCCGAGACGGGAGAACATCATCTAACAAGTGTCTCAGTCGGGGTCTCTCAGGAGATCCAATTGCGTGTATGCTCCCACAGTTTAGTTCTTATTGCTTGCTATTTGGTGGTAAAGAACTGGAAGCAACCTAAGCCCCACCCAAATTTTGGTCCAACGTTAAAAAAGTGGGATGATGGCATTTATTTGCAGGATGTATAAAAAGAAATTGGTCTTTAATTTAAGAATTCACATTTCTTTTTATAAAAGAGCTAGGCCAGCTTGATGGGAAACGGAATCACCCCCCCCCCCCACTCCTAAACATAATTTTTAAAACATAGATAAATGAATTTTTTTTTTTAAAGAAAAAAAAGAAAGAAAAAAAACAATAAAATATTTAAGAATCATATCATAATCAGCTGAGAAGACAGGGAAGCGCTTAAATGACAACGAAATCTTCAAGTTCGTCATAGCGACGTTGATACATAACCTTCTCGGCAGTTGAGCCTTCAACAAGAGAAATTAAGTCTATAAAAGCTGCGATCCCATCCCCTCTATTGCTCCTTTCTGTACGATTTGCTCTTGCCCTGCACTGAATGACCGGTATTGTGTCAATGTGCTTCGCTTTACTAAAAAAATAAAATCACGATTACTATCTTACCGATGAAGCTGATTTCCAGCTACAATAATCAAAAGCTAATGGCTGGTTTTTGAAATATGTCTAAACCAAATTTTCAATCCTTTGAAAATAATTACCTCCGACTCATTCTCTTTGCCCTTCCCAGTCGTGCATTTTAAAAAAGCGAGATAATAGTACGCGAACGTAACCACCGAAGAGGCACTTCAGTACAAGTTTTACTCACTAGAAGGCCCCCAGCTGTGACCTCAGCACTTTACCTCACAGAAGGCTCACGACTCACGACTCTCTCTGCAGGTTATTCGGAACCATAGACTTGAATTATAATAGCTTATTAGACCGAGCACAGTCCTGGCCATCGCTTCTTTATTCTCTCTCTTTCTCTCTCTCT